GGAGAAAAAGATACTACAGTTAATTTAAGGAACCTGAAATGAATAATACTGTTATTAATTTTATTAATTAGACGCTTGCCTCTGAAGTCTTGCATTTTTGATGTGTGCTTCTGAAACTTGTTAATACTATGCTCCAAAGTTCAAATAATACTCAAGTAAGTTTCAGTCCCTTTTTTAGGAGGCAAAAAGCAGAAATATGAGAAATTATCTTGCTGCTGGTTTATATCACTGTGGGATATGCATAGATTTTTTTCATTATTGTATTTAATGAAGTTTTCTTGTAAAAAAAAAAAAAGTTGAGCTGGTTGTGCAGCAACTATTTTGTATTACTTACTCTGCTTATTCAATTACTGGCTTTTTCACATCTGTGTAAGAAATAAAGTATCTTGCAGGTGAATAACCTGTGTGTTACTGAGCACATCATCTTCAACCTCCTAAGAGACAAACTATAATTGTAAAACACGATAAAGTGAAGGTTAAAAAAAAAAAAAGCCTGTTAGATTTGTTTACCCAAGTGCTTATCTTTCTTTTGTTTGAGTTTTGGTGAAAACTGCTGTATTTGGATGTCGAGTCAAGGAGTAAACTGTCTCTGGTTTTGTCCCTATCACTCCAGTCTCCTCTTTCTACCTTTATTTTGTACATCTTCCTTGTGAACATGAGTCTCAATTAATAAATAAAAAGAGGGATTTTATATCATCTACTGAAACAAAACTGTGTCACAGTCCCTTTTGCTTGATGGTCCTGTACTATAGCATTTAAACAAGTTGGTGATAAAAGTTGGGTTTACTTTTCAATATTTTTTTTTTCCTGTGAGCCAATTCATCTGTCTTACAGAAACTATGAGTATTCCTCCAGTTTTCTGACAGGATGTGCTGAGCACTACTAAACTCTGTTACAAAGCAGCTGGGGAAACGCGAACCTCCTTCAGGAAAGGCGTTTTGTGGGAAGTTTCCCGAGAGAAACAGGATTGAAAGGGCTGCTGCTTTGGCTTTACCAGAGGTGGGTCCCCTTCGCTTACCACTGTGCGAAGGCAGATATCCCCCCGTGAACAGCGAAGGCATGCTTGCATACGGCAGGGGTCTTTCTCTGGGTGCTGCTCCTGTTTGCAGCAGAGGATCTGAGAAGGAGGTAAGAAATGAGCGGTTCCTTAATCTCACTCCTCTAGCTGGGTCTTGAGCCTGCACTTCGTGTGGTGCCGCAGCAGTCCCAGCTGTGTGTCTGCTCATCTGTGCCAGTGTTAGCCCTGCCACAGCCACAGGGGCCAGAGCTGCAAGCAGCTCTTGGTCTGGGCTCTGGGATGCAGGTGGTGAAGTCACCGCTTGCCCTAAGCAAGTCCTCACCTGTCCTGGCTTCCCAGCTGCCTGTGTGATGGAGGGGGCTCTGTCTGCTTTAATCTTTCAAGGCACTGTATGACAGGTAAGGAAATACACGTTGCCTCAGGGGTTCAATAGCGTCCTCCAAAAGTTTCTGGTAAAAATAACTTGGTTTACAGAAAGGAGCCTCATATTGTTCCTCAGCTTTTCTCCTCTTGATCCTGCCTAAGTGAACAGGAAGGAAAGGAGCGTTGCTTGGGAAAAGCCAGTGCAGCAGCCAGGCTCTCTGTTGTGTTTGTAACTTCTTACATGTATGGGTCGGCTGTGAGTGGGGGAACAGCAAAATGGGATTGGGGCAGCAGGGATCTGTGACTTTTCCTTGCTTGAACAGCAAGGTAACATTTGCTTAGCGCTTCTGGGGATCATGCCCTGCCTGCCACCCCACCCCACTGTTTGAATGAACAGACTAGGACCCTGTTTTTAAACAGATCTACCACAGTTGGCATGCAGCACTCCCAATGCATCAGTCACAGGACATCTGCAATCAGGCTGTTCTCCCCGTCTGGCCTGAGCCTGGCTCCCGGCACTGGGCCTTAGGAGCATACGCAGGCAGCTAGTTGCACCACGTTCCTGCAAGTGCCTAGCTTCTAACCGAATCATCCCTGCAACTGTTTGCTTGTGGTGGATGCTATCAAGCAGCATCCTCTGCTGAGCTAACCGTAGAAACAAGAGTCCTGGCAGCAGCAGAAGGGAAAGGGCTGTACAGCAGGGAGTGGGAGGTTTTATCCTCCCAGGGTGTGGGAGATGGAAGAGAAAGTAGGGGTGCATTGGTGACAGATCACCCAGGGAGGAAGGGTGGGAGAGGAGTCACTGTGTGGCTGAGGGATAGGACAGCTGTGGATGAAGGCCTCTGCCAGACAGTGTCCATGTAGCTGCTTCTGCAACAGGGGAGCAGAAGGGGGGGTAGGGGGGTTATGCCAGATCCTGTTCTGGAGTAATAAAGCACTGGCACCAAGGGCCCAGGTCATCTCTGCTTGAGTCAGAAACTCCTGGTGCACCCACGTAGGGTGGATGTCTGTATCCTGTGATAAGCTAATCATGCTGCTTAAATTAAATACTCATGCTTCTCAAATTAAAGTTTCTTTAAAAAGGGTGGGGTGAGATGTTCTGCTATTTTTTCTTGTTACAAAGACGAGCCTGGCCTGGCTAAGCTAACCAGCCAACAGCAGCAGTGCTGCAAGTTTCCTCTTCTGATAGCCTTTCTTCACTGAGCTACGCTTCCGTGAGCTCTTGTGCTCAACTACAGTATAAACTACACAAACTATACGTTATACTAAACTAGACGTTAGCAAATGCTGTCCAAAGGAAAAAAAAAAAACCAAAAACAGAACAACCCAACCCCTTCACTTTGCTTTTACTAACCTTATTACACAAATTACCAGGGGATTAAACTGTCTGAGGTCAGCACCTTACCTGGTAAATTAGTATGTGCAGTTAGAGAAGCTTGTGGTATGGCTTTGAGTCACCTGAGCCGAGACTCCAGCATGGCTGAATAAATGAACACGGTCAAATTTACATATTGTTAAATACTTTGTTGTGCATCTTTGCCATTATTACCTGTAGTACAGAGTCTTGGCCAGTTCCCACTGTTGCTGAGGGCCCAGGCTCCTGAGCTAAAACCCTCAAGGCAACCAGGCAAAGAGTGTGGCGCAGGCTGGGGGATGGACTCTGGCTCCCAGAATAAACACCAAGCCTGCGTGACTTCTCTGAGGTACCAGGGGCACTTCGGAGGATATGAACCAACTGGGCAACTGCCCCAATGTATAACTTCTTCTTCCATAGTCCAAACTATATAGTCAAGACATTTTTATTTTTTTCCCTTTCCAACTCTGGAAAAAGCATGCAAAACATCCAAAGGAAGAAGTCCAACCAGCTTTCAGAGACAGCAGTCCTACAGAACTCAATCGCGTAAGAGACATGCACTAGTTTAGTTATAAGTGAAATACCAATCATCTAATGCAAACTCAAAGCTTTTCTGCTGGCCTTTTATAAACCAGTCAATCCAGCTGCGGTATTGGTTACGCTGTTACTTTAAACAGGCAAAAAAAAAAATCCAGCAAAACCAAACCCACCCACCAACCCAACCCTCCTGACTGGGCATAGAGGCCTCATGCTCTGCACGCATCCCCATAGCTATGCATGTTTGTTTTCCATGTAAAACACCAGAACTATCCCCTCTGTCCCACCAACCCCCTGCTACACGCACAAAATAGTGACACCAGCTCTTTAAAAACAACTGTATATTTCAATGAATGATTTCAAAACTAAAAGGCCTCCCTTCTCCATACCCAGCTATGTTTGTGACTTGGCAAAAATTTCAGAGTTCTCTGTTTTTATTTCAGGTCACCTTTCAGCCTCCACCATGGAAAGCTGCGAAAACTTCTGGCACTGATGCTGCAGCGTCTTTATGCCCTTTTTTTAATGGCTGTGTAAAGAACAGCCTTTATTTCCCAGCTGTCACAGCTGCCCCATCTTATAACTCACATAGTAAATAGGAAAATATGAATGAGATTTTGAAATTTTATTCTGTTAAATAAAATGAAATTATAAGAAAAGTACAGACAGAGGAGTTTTTGCACCAACAAAACTAGTCCGATGATAGCTAGCTATAAACAAAGTGGATTTACCAGTTTGAAAACTGATCAGATCTTCCTTCACTGGTTAACAGTGGCTGAAAGTAATTACAATTGTGCAACTCTTTGTCCACTAAAAGCTGAGGGAAATGGAATAAATCAGTCCATCAATGCAATCACCTGCTAAACTACTGAAAACAAAGTCAAAGTGAAATAATTTTGCCTCCTCCAGACTTTTGCTCTCTGCCACAAGCGGTCAGGAGCTGCCTCTGCTGCCCTGAAAAGCAGAAGCTCCCACCACCATGGGCCAGGTTTTTGTCCGCATTGGTTGATTTCCCCAAGTTTTCTTTAACGCCTGCCACTGCTTTTGGCCACACCTTGACCTGATTGCAGCAGCTCAGCAAGAACAGGCTTTGCCGCCAGGACCAAGCCTGCCCCTTCATTTCGGCCACAGCTCCGCGGCCCTCTGTAGCCTGGCACTGATCTACTTTTGACAGGCAGGTAATTAAGAGGCCTGTCATACGGCCCCTTTCTATGGCAGGAAAGGGCTTCTCCTCTTAGTTGTGAACCAGCTCACGCCTCCAAACCCATGTTTTTAAGCCCTGGTATTGTCCTTCACACTCGGTGCAAATCTTCTGACCAGCACCGGTGCATTTTCTTCATTACAGCCTCAGCCTCCTATTACAGAAAAAAACTGCCACACAGTAAACAAAGGCAGTGAGTCAAGTCTAATGTGACCTCCCAAAGGCTCAGGGCGATAAAGCTTTCATCGGCTCCAGCCAAGACTTAATGTCTGGCGAACAAAATGTTCTGGAAAAATGACGTGCCTTATATAAACACATTTTTCTGGCAGGTACATCCTGTTGTTTAAAACCTGGAGAGACTGGCTCAGCCGGGCTTCTGCAGGAGCTAAGGGAATGCGATGGGTGGAGGAGAGGGTGGGAAATAAGGGGGCGGAGGGAATAGCATGCAAGGAGAAAAGCGAGAGAGGCAGAGCTGAGCCCCTCGATGCCTCTGGTGCCGGCGTGCAGAGCCACTGCTGTTAACTAGTGGTTTACAGAAAGTTTATGTACACATTGCCACCTCCTTCGGTCTTTTTTTTTGTGCAGAGGCACTTTTCCAACAT